AATATTACCGCAGTTTCTGATAACGGCTCCATTTCATTTTTATTCGACCACCCTGTATGCGAAATAGAATTTTTCAAAAAACAGTTACTAATGATTGATTATCTAAAAGTAATTTATCGAAATGAAAAAATTAACTAAGCCTATATCTAATACTAAGACGGGTATTGGATTTCCCCATATAGGAGTATGCGATGTTGGGATAGGAATTAAACATTTCACATCCAATATTTTATCTCTCAAATATATTAGTGTCAATGTGGTCTCCAAACGAAGAACCTTGATCAAACTTACCTTAACTGGAACATATCATTATTAAATATGATTTATAGACTCGACAATAATTTTTATTTGCCGATGGATACAAGATAAAAATCATTCATATCTAATAAAAAAGACTTATTAGAATTGATTGGTGGTCATTAAATAAATATTATTTCACCTGTGGCGATATTTTATTGATCCAGACAAAATTATGGTTCATTATTTAGAGTGCAAGGACAGGTGCATAATTTGGGGATACAATTACTTAAAAATACTAAGGTGAGTGTGAATTATCGATACCAATATGATCGTTGAATGGATGTCGATTAGTTCTGTACAGGTCGTGAAAAAATGTCAATTTTTTAACCCAGATAGAATGTTTGCTTCGAAAGGCCTTCATAGTACACAACATCATATATCAAAACAACAATTATAATAAAATTATAATGAAAATACACGGGAAGTAACCTCATTGAAAAACTCTCTTCGCGGTAAAAATCAGTAAGAACTTCCACCAGGACTGTATGCATAAAATAAACGTCTGTTTTTCGTTTTTAAAATGATGGATAGCATCACGATGATGTTTTTTATTCTGTTTCGAGGCGATAGGTTTCCATTTCCGGTGTTGTGTAAACATTACATATTCTACCTCCCTTTCTGGAGGTAAATACAAAATATAAATGAAAATAAAATGTCGTCATTAGGCTCATGTGATTCACTTGCATCACTTTTCAATAATTATAATTCATATTATACATGTTATATCAGAAAAAAAAACACGTACCATAGATTATAAACAACCTTGCAGTGTAAACATTCATGGACATTATCTGAAAATAAACTCAACTGCGCCGTTAAATAACGTTATTTTTAATTTTTCATAACTTGCATCTTCAAATAATATATTTGTGAAATCATTTGATATGAGATATACAGGATATTCCATATTCGACAGCCTATTAGACGAATCTAGAGAAAAAAAAAAGATAAGAGTTTCAAATTTTTGTAATCGATGTAGATGGCTGTGATCTATCGTTTGAAAATATTTTCATCGCCGCATTGTTGCTATATCTAAATCTAACAGACATCAACTTGGAAATTTCAAATGGAACACCCTGTATATTATTCAATTTTCGAATTCAGACAACCAATGTGAACAACTTTGATCAACTATGTCCTATACCTATCTCTGGCAGTTGATGTGATATGAACTATTTCTATGCAAGCATAAAATTTTCAATAAAATTGATAATCAAGTGCATAATACACACACACTCTCAAAATTTCAGCTTTGCAAAAATGGCGTAGGTCTCGAATCTTCGGAAATTTACTCCTTTAGATTGAAAATTGACAAACTGAGATTGTTTTTCGAAATACTTTTGAATATTAAATCAGGCTGAAAAATTCAATACATATGGTGAATCTTTTTCTATTTTCAATCCACCTACTCGAATATCAAAGGAGTTTTAAACATTAATTTTGAATTTCGACAAGGATAATCGTGTATTATGATCTAAATCATATCTAAACAACAAAATAATGGATTTGACAATAACTTGTTTAAATAGTTCGACTGTCACATTGAATAGATGGATAATAATAATTATTCGAACTCTGAAAATCCTAAATTCGTTTTATTATTTCACATGAGGGAATATTCGAAATAATCACTTCTGTGCTTCAGAAAATCTCCATTTCATTAGAAAAAGGGAATTCCTACAAAAATTCAGTTTTAATGTTTTTTGTATGATCACGGATAATAAAGTTTCTATTTGTATTTATGAAGAAGAGTTGAATTCCCAAAAATATTTAGATATTCTGAGATCGACTATGAGTTATTTTCTAGACAATTTGCCCCTGAACTTGTATCGGAATTGTTGGATGTTTTACAAAAACCATCATATAACCGAAATTTGGCAGATACAATGCTTTACCAAGGCATATTTGGTCATTGGAACTGTCGGAGAAAAACGAAATTGCTAATAGAAATGTGATTGAGGTTCCGATCTCAGTCTATATCTTTGGGGTAACTGAAGTGGACTTGGTTAGAGCTTTTCCAACTTGAATTGAATCCCAGAGAAGTGACGCATCTCCATAGGAGTTAGGATTCTAGATCATGCCTTGCGCGCTTATGTTTCTCCAGAAAACAAAGATGTTGGGTTTTGAGTCTGGAGTGTGTACGGAAACTATCCATTTATTATACCATTATAAAATCATTTTTGACTTTTTCAATTGCTGGTAAAATATTCATTTGTTTGTTACTTATTGTTATTATTTATGTTCTTGTAATGCATGTTTGGAACCTTTGGCATAGTAATGAATATTACTGTAGTATTTTCCCAACACCAAATCGTCATTTTTAACATCTGATCACCAAGTGATCATCTTCAAGATGAAGATTAAAATAAATATATATATAGGTATATAGATACCTTTGCTAGGTACCTGTGCATCAATTGTCTTAAAATTAATTTCACAATTTTGCCTTATCTACTAGTCAGGTGAATCTGATAAGTAAAAATATTATTTCAACAAGATATATAGTAAACAATTAGGTATTGGTCCACCACTGTTATTAATAATATTATGTTTACTTATTTCTGAGCTCTCATAGGCATCTAGATGTCTGTTGTTAACTTGTCTAACTAATCTCTTGGGAAATAAATGGTGAAGATTTCAAAATCAAATTTAATATTATTGATTGATTGTGAAAATTTCTTTAATAGGATAATTTTTTTCATAATTTTCCAACTACAAAAAATGACAATTGGGACAAGTTCGAAGAAACAGTTATTTCTGAAATACAAATAACTCAATATGTTGTAGAAACACTATTTTGTTTTTTATATTACTTCCAAATGTGATTACACTAGTTTACAGCTAATTCACGACTGTAATGCCAAAGGCGGTTCTTTATTAATTTTTGGTCCCTAAATGCTAAAATGAGTAAACATTTCTTAACACATAAGATTTTTGAGTTATGATTTCTTTCACAAAAATTTAATGAACACGACATTCCAAATTTGCTTTTTCCCTAAAATGAGAAAACACAGCTCAGTATTCGAATCTGCTTCCACTGTATATGAGACTTGTTACGCCGTGCCGCTTCTCGAACTTTCGAGGCTCGAAGTTTCCAGAAAATACCAGAAAAACGGAACCGCTATAAAAGTAGAATAAACTCGCAAACATTAAGAGTATTATATTAGTGTATCTTCGTGAATAAAAGAAGTTGACTCCTCTAAACGCATATTTGAACTCGACGTACACAACAGTACTAAAATATCCAAAGTACAGAAATGTGGCTGCGTTAATCCCGCAGATAGTTTTTGCTATATGTATATGTGGTCAGTTTACTCCTAAATCGCAGATATTCCTTCTGCAACAAGACCGGTTCTTCATGGAGAAGGTTTACCAGTTCCAACACCCTCCGGCAAATTTGGAGCAAGATTTGGAAATGTATGATGACCAGGCAGGTTCCGAATCCAAATCGTGTGATGGAAAAATTAGGATAGATTCGTCTAAAACAAGTTTAAAAACCATTCTGCTCCATGATGGTAACAAAAGACCATCTATTCCTCTTGCACATGCAGTTGCCATGAAGGAAACACACGAAAGTATGTCACGTATTTTAAATGCAATAAGTTATAATACGTGTAAGTAGCAAATATGTGGTGACCTAAAAGTCATCGAACTATTACTAGGTCTTCAGTTTTGCTGTTTTCTTTGCCTCTGGAACAGTAGGGCAACACAAAGCCATTATCAAGTAAAAGATTGGCCTCCGAGAGATAAATATATTCCAGGTCAAGCTAACGTGAAGAATATACCTCTTGTTAATCCAAAAAACGTTTTTTACCTCCATTACACATTAAACTGGGCTTAATGAAAAATGTTGTAAAAACATTAGACAAAGAAGGTGATGCGTTTAAGTATCTTAAAAATTAAGTGATGCAAAGCTCAAGGAAGGTATATTTATTGGACCACAAATTAGAAAACTAGTAAGTGATCAACAGTGATAAAAACTTAAGTAATGTTGAATTAGCTACGTGGAGTTCTTTCAAAAGAATTGGGATCGCATGTCTCTCAAAATCAATTTCTTGCACTCCCATTTGAATTTTTTCCCAGAAAATTTGGGTGCTGTCAGTGACGAACAAGGGGAAAGGTTCCACCAAGACATACTGACAATGGAGCAACGTAACCAAGGCAGATCGGATGCAGCAATGATGGGGGATTATTGTTGTGAAAACGACGAAACATAAAAACGAAAGTCAACATTTGCAAAAACGTTATACACAAAAGACTTCATTTGAATGTTTTTTAATGTATACTGTAAATAAAGTCTGTTATCCTCAAAATATATTGTTTTTTTCTTGTTTTGATTTTATATTTCCGTATAATATGTGCAAATTTTTGTATAAAATAAAAATAACTTTAACTCAAAATCTTTACGTGATGGAAAATGTTTAATTGAAGTCTTAGTCAGGATGCTTTAAACTCTCATGTATAGCCATTATAATATTAGTCGTTTTTTTTTCTTATTTTTTGGCTAGTGTTATTTTTTGTTGCGTGGTGCAATGTAACAAGTGTTAGGTCAGTTTAACAATTAACTTCAATTTTTACAAATAGTGGTGAAGTTTTTAGTTCACCTTGAATGCATTGGAAACATTTTCACAATAAGTAACAGCCCTAATTTCAAGAAGGAATTAAGGAAAAAAGCCGTTAAAGTTTTATCTTTGTTTCAGAGATTCCTAAATGCAATGTGATAAGCCCTCAAGACATCAGCCTATCTTTAGCAGACCACACTCGATCTCTAACATCAACAGCAGCTCTCATGGCTTTACAGAGGATAAAGGACGCATCCATGTGAGTAATAAATACCATTTTCTGAATGTTATTCAATAGATAACAATAAAATGTTTTTATAATAAAGTAGGTTTGACAACGAAACCTTCGATGTGTCTGTCAAGTTGGCAACGACAGTTTTCAAACTGAATTTACCTTTCATTTGTTAGAAGGTGAATGAAATATCCAATTCCAGTAGTCTAATCGATGTATAATACGTTATAATGGATTTTCAAGTATCGGTCAGTTCTATCATATTTTAGCCTTGTCAAGTTCAAGACATTTATTTTAGTCCAGTCAAAACTTCACAGACTTCCTCTTTTAGCTAGAAAGAAAGTGCAGGAACTTAAAAAACCATTGCTAGGAAAGTATATCTGGAAAATCTGTCTTGGTCGGAGACCTTGTAAGTTCCAGAACTTAAACAAGATTTTTTTTCCTGCAAGAAGATGAACTTCGTCCGTTTCTCTTGTGAGACGACGAAACATTTTTTTCAGAATATTCTTTAAAATATCAAACCAAGTTCAGTTGTGACACGGCAATTTCAGTTTGAAACAAGTGTCCTATCGACTCGTTCCAGATACCAAAATGAAAAATTCTGAAGATCTGTTTTGTGAATCCCGGTAATATAAAGAGGAAAAAAGATCAATACAATCTTCAATATATTCTGATGGAAAAGTGTCTTTTTTTAAACACATTGTGCTATAAAGGAAGAGTACCATCTATTTCACCGAATATACATTCGGAAATCTCTCGAGAGACCATAATTTTTTGTTCTGGTGTTAGGAAAGTGTTTTCAATAGATTAATTTTACGCCAGAGGTTTCAGTTCGAACTATCAAGTCGTGTATTTTCATGTTAAACAATTCTAAATTTAAAGAATTCTTGAAACCTATCGTCAACGATACTCGACCTGTAAACAATAGATACCAAGGCATCTGTATATATTCTTGATGAAAAACCCTGCTAACGAAACACCCTTATAAACTCATTCAGATGTCTGGAATAATAACGTATGTAACATTGAGTTCAGTATGGTCCTGATAAATTATCTTTTCTAGCAGCCGAATACACAGGTGATGAGAATTGTTTTCAGAAAGTCATGAATGACTAGTGCACTTTCAAAAAAAAATTTAGTTTTTGCAAGTTACATATTGAATGAATATGTGATGGAATTGGCCGATATTTCATAGAAATCTACAGGGTAAGTCAACAAGGTTCCCTCGGTCCAGAGGAAACTATTTTTCGAACTGAACAATTTTTTGCAGTCATATCAATAAATACTATAATATTTCAAAATTAGTTTCTGGCATACTGGGTGATTCAACCGATCCTGGCCAACCAAGTTATATTTTTTAAATAGAACACCCAGTATATGAATAAGTCATTCGATTTCATATCCAGAAAAACCCATTTTGCAGACAATATTTTTTAATTCATCACCCGCATGTCTACAGCAATTAAGTGGATTTTTTTAGGAATAGTTAGTCAACATAAATAAGATAATTTCAATAATCTCAACTTTCGAAAACAATATATAGGGTGCTCGGTAAAATCGGTCAAGTTTCATTCATTTTCAAAAAGACATAATTCAATTCTTTCAAATGGAACACTCTGTATTTTTTCATTTGTATGAAATGTTTTCATATTTCACTACATTTCTTATCAGAGGTATACTATACGAAAAACTGATATTTTATAAATTATACCAAGTTTTAGTAATTGTTTTAACCACAAAAAGATTTACACAAATATACATTAGCATTTTCCATACCATCTGGTGATAGTTATCAGCGGTATCAAGAGTAATAAATGCGTGAAAAGAAAAAGAATATTTATACTGCGACTTTCTTTAAAAACTCAGTTATCCATGACTGACATCAAAAAATGAATCTCGGAATTTGTCAGTAACGCCATGTGTTGAATTATTGAAGTTTCTTCCGCGTGTAGATTGAATCATTTTCATTATGAATTATGTATTGAAAGGTATGGTGCAACTGGTCTATGCTTTGGAGGAAAGTGACGGAAACTGCCTCCTGCTTGCATCTACGATTTACAAATGTAATGTCAATAACGAGAAGTTCGAACGTGTCTGCCCTGTTACAAATGAAGAAAATACATTTCAAATTGCTCNTTCTGTTTGGACCACGCTGGTATTTCTACCCATTCTCCACTCAATCCTTAGGCTTAGTAATCTGGAGTACAGTCCACATCCTGAGCCTTGTTTGATTTTTGAGCCGTCTGTATATATGCGTATTGCATTTGCAGCATCTGACTCTGTGTTCTGTTTCATTTGTATTTTGTAGGGTTTATTAAACACAAACCTGGGTTCAATTGCATCACTGGTTGCCTACAGCAGAGGTTGCGCAGTAAGCGCTTCCCGCCATAGGCCCAGCCTCAATTGACCCATTCCTACCTCGAGGTTTACAACAGCGTGCGAAATCGTACCATGGTGCGCAATCACCCTGTATGCGAGAAAATTATTTTGAAAGAGAGTATCTATTGATATGACTGCGAAAAAAAAATTGAGCTATTCGAAAAGTTGTTTTCCCTGATAGTAATGTACCGACGGAATCTTGTTCACTCAAGTATTCAAATAAACTTTTATTTTCAGATTTTCACTTAAAAGTTCATTGAACTACTACAAGTATTCCACTGTACAATAGCTAGATCCGGAATACCTTGTTAGGTTTAACTTGAGTCCGGATTTGCCGTGTCTCTGTTGCTGGAGAAACCTGAAACGGCAGAACATGTTATTGAAAGATGTATGGATAGCGATAAGATTGGATGGTGAGAATGGAAAGAACGCATGGAACGAAATGGAGAAAGCACACTGAGTTAAGTGAAAGAAAGGAGAAATGAATGGATCCGATTTGTGAATGAATGAACAGAGAATGTCCTCCAACACCACAATGTGTTTATCTCCACCCATAGAAAAATTAGACCTCTTTTCATAATGAATGTATTCTTCTTCTGCTCTCATTATATTACTCTGGGTCATAAACTGTACTTCAAATTTCATTTTGGTATCTGGAACAAGTGGATACGTCACTTCTTTCAAACTGAAGTTGACGTGTTACAACTGAACTTGTTTCGGTTTTTTCTAGTTTCGATTTCTTGGAATATCCAAAAGAGATGGTTATACAAGAAAAGCGGTTAAAAAATATTGTTTTCAGTTCTTACTGAAAAAAAAATCTCAACATGCTTCAGAACCCACAAGGTCTGCGACCAAGATTGAGATTATTATTAGGCACCCATCTTCTGTATTTTTCAAAGGAGTAGTTTTGTAGCTAGGCTTCATCAAGTTCCTGATATAATAGTAAGAGTAAATACACTTTTTAAATTCCTTTTTTTATAGTTACTGGTCAAAACACATAAACGAAAGCTGTTTGTGTACAAATGCCGTCAAAGCCTTGAAGCCCAACAAATCATATTAGTATTCATAGATCCATCAAATCCACTCATTGATATCTGTACATATTTTAAAAATAAAATTGTTGACAGAACTATCAATAATGTAGTTATGTATATATTGAACGGCACTGAAAGCAAACCTTCATTTTAATTACAGTTATAATTTTAGTTTCAAATAATTTACCCACATAAAGAAAAAGCTAGAATCCAGAAGTCAAAATGTGATTTCCCAAGTATTTAAAATCGTCGGATCTGTTTGAATCTCCTAAATTTTACGTCAGGTAGTTGATAGGTATGATGTGGATAATGATGATGACGTAGTGTTATTTCAAATCGTTGGGCGTAGCGTAACCTAAGTAAATATGTTAATCTACGCCCAGCCATTTTATTATTTTTTCAACTGATTAATACCATAGATTTCTGAGGAGAGTGGTTTGATGACTGCTACCTAGAACCTTCTAATTTATTCTTTATTTTTCAGTACATTGTTTAGATCATTATTAACTTTTTCAATAAAACCGCGCGTTTAGCATAAAAAGTTGAATTACTCATTATATTTTCAAGATTTTAGTTTTTGATTTGCTTACTCAATTCTTCTCATTTTGTTTAGTTCCTTTAGTGCCTCAGTATTACAAGGTAATATGTAATCCGCCATTTTGTTGCTGCGGTCATCTTGAATTTGCATCTTTTTCAAAGTGTACTACTATTCTACTAGTAAAACCTCTTCATTTGAAACCCATATTGAGGTAGTTAGTAGTGAAAAATATGTAATCCGACATTTTGTAGCTACGATCATCTTGAATTTGCATCTTTTTCAAAATCTACTACTATTCTAATAGTAAAACCTCTTTATTTGAAACCCATATTGAAGTAGTTGTGAAACGATATGTAATCCAACATTTTGTAGCTGTAGTAATCTTGGATAATTTATTGAATTGTATTGAATTGAATTGTATCAAATGTGTGTACCAAATTTCAGATCAATCTGTAAACAGGAAGGGGGTCAAACTTCGAATACTAAATTTGACCAAAACAAATAAACAAACAAATAAAAAAACAGTAAAATTGTTAAATCGCAAGTAGTACTGATGAATCCTTATGTTATGCTTTACGTCACCCACAACCACCAAGATGATGAAAAGAAAGCATACGTGTAGCTACATGTCAAAATCGAATGTATGGTAAAAAGTCTCACTTCGTAGTTTTGAAAGCGAGCGTACCTAAATGTACGAATTTTATGTTTTCGCTAATTGCCAAAGCTTCGCTTTAAGTGTTGATGAAAGTATTTTTATTGAAATGTTTTTCTTCAAGGAGACATTGAAAACTTTGTATTCCAGATCAATAAGAAGAACTTCCATCCATGACTCCGTGCCAAGTAAATCTACCACTATCAACAACAACAACATTTACGAAGATAGCAGGACTCCCGAAGTAACGATACGAAGAAGAAAAATTCACAGATGTGATGTTGCCGGCTGTCATAAAGTGTATACTAAAAGTTCGCATCTAAAAGCACATAAAAGAACCCACACAGGTAGGTATATTTATTCTATTGTTTCAATCAGTTATATTATATAATGCCATTATGATCAATATCAGTAATTCATTGAGTAACTTCAAATTAACACACACAAAACCAAAACGTCACTTGAAATATAACACGAGTTACCAAGTTTTAAAAGTACCTGATCTGCAAATTACTGGTTTTGAAAGTATTTACCATCAACCTCTTTCGAAAGCGAAAGTTTCCTCTAATAAGCTACTTGCATGTCTCGCTATTTTCGCTCAAATACCAACGTTCAGATTTCAGTTGAAATCCAAAACGCAGTGATGATAACAGTGACACCAAAGACAACAAACACACTGTCTAATTAGTTGAAGTTACTTTCATAAAATCCTGTTCTATTGTAGACACCGTGGTACTTTCATAACATGGCACCAGAAACGGAAAAATTACACGACTTCAAATTTTTCGAAACAAGCAATATACAGGGTCCTGCAACAGTGGCGCGGTACCGCCCAGAAAAAATCGAACACCCTGTGTGACCGCCAATATTTTTATTTCGTCGAGCTCGAGCAATAAGGTAATATTATAGAAAATTAGATTCCTATCTGCTTCCTATATAGAGATATGGAACACCGCGCCACTGTTGCAGGACCCTGTATAATGCAAAAATGGAATCATAAAATCTGGGCCAGTGTTACCGACGCGACGCCACCAACTCATGTACTCTCTTTTTGATAGCACACATGTTTAGGGGCGTGTCATTGTTTATCTGAATTTCTATACATTTTATTATCTTCTGAAATTGACGAATTTGGGAAATATTATACTTATGCGACAATCAAATATAATTTTCTTTTGCCTATAATGGCGACAATAATAGTAGGTATATTACGTACCAAGTGGAATACGGATCCAACTACCCACGAGCGAGTGGACGTAGCTGGTCTTATCCTCGACGTGCGTACTATACTTTTTCTACGACTGGCTATAGAAAGGAATGGTGAAATATATTTGTTTGAAATTATGGATATGGATAATAAACTCATTGACTCAGTCAGTCAGAACTCAATTAAATGATTTAAAAATTGGTGGCCATATTTCCTACAAATTATTTTATTATTAGTGTTCATTTTTGTAATAATTATGTAAATTTATAGTTACACTAATGTATAATTATATGATATACATGAAAATAAGATCCCGCAGTGGGATTAGAACTCAGGTTATAGGAAAAATACATACATTCAAGCGTTACCGCTGAGCTACTCTGAGCTACGATTACCGATTTGATACTTAATTGAGATATGAGTAGTAAATATAATTAATATTCGCTTTGTAAGTGAATGAATCGATTTGAAGAGTTTTGAATAAAATAATAATATCAAATACGAGCGCGAACAAGTATTTTTGGTCTGTAAAATATTTTCAAATCCTTTTGCTTGGCTTTTATAGTTCATAGAATTATCGTAAGTGGGTTTTGCTTTAGAGGCGTCTGGCAAATGAAATACGATTGGCTGTTGGCTGGTGAGGTTAAATAATTCAGATTTAACATTTATGTTGGGTCTTAGTATTTCAAAAATTGTTGCAAAAAGTTCATAAAAAATAATAGAAAGAAAAAGCGGAGTCGTGTTACCTTCGAAATATTAGCCATCTGGAGCTTCCTTAATGGATTGATTATTTGTTCAGTGGTAAGCGTAGACGATTTCTTCGGTTTATAACCATCAGATTTGCATTTTAGAGAGTAACATGATTTGGAATATTTGCTGATGTCCACATTTTTTTTTATATTAATGGTATTTCCAAGCATTGAGTAAATTACCCATAATGACGGTGGTTTCAAAGGTTTTCTTAAACTTTCGAAATAAACGAGAAGAACGTTTTCGGAAATCGAAGTTATGTTTTTCTTCTCTCCCCAACTCATAAAATTTTCGAAATTATATTCGTATTTTTCTCTTGCTTTTGCTGGCAACGAATTATCATCCACCGCAATATTTGCTTGCTTGGTGATATCTAATGGGGTAGCACAAATTTCTTAATCGTTATCACTCATTCTGAATTTTTATGAGATACTGAATGACAACTCATAATTAAAACAAATGATTGTTGACACACGGATATAACTAGAATCATTACCAACCCACAAACTGTGAAATAATAAATTCACTAAAAATATGATTTTTATTTCGATTTAATAGAGAATTTGGAGAGAAAATTCACTGATTTTGGCTTTTGGACAAATGAATGTATTCATGAAATCATATTTATCAGAGTAAATGTTACATATGTCATCATTTTTTTTAATTTATCACGGGAGTGGCTGTCATTAATTTAGAATACACATGTATTCTAAATGAGCCATTACCTACCAGCTGTCAAACACATAATGATCAGTTCAATTTCAAACCGCTAAACAAAAGAAATTAGATAGGCCAACAATATGATATTGTATTGTTACATTTTTAGAAAAATTATTTAACTTCTCAGTTTTGATATCATTGTTAAAATAATTATATAATAATGATTAAAGTAATCATATAAAAGTGATGAAGGGACCTCTCAATGGGATCTTGAAATGCTTCATTTATCATTGCAACAATTTCATAATATTGGCGTACTTTGTTTATATGGTCAGCATGAAAACTCATTGAAATTAATGTCTTTTAGCTTTCAGGGATTATCTCGTTACCCATGATTCACCCCGAAAAAATAATTTCATTAAAAAAACAAAATTTGTTTATTGGATACCCTAACAACGCATCTCTGATACAACCTGTATACAGGCTGATTCACGGTGGATGGCACATTAGACGTTTCTGGTGAACCAGACAACGGATCACTTTGAAAATTTAATGGAGGGCATATTCGGACATTCTCTAGCCAACTAAAATATTTTCGACAATGCGGTGTTGCCGCTTCTATTAGAAAGCAGTAGCAACTTTGATTTTTCAAATGGAATACTCTGTATATAATATTATTTTTGGAATCTCCAACAATTGCCCGACAACTTTTCTTGATATTTCCCTATACCTATCTGTTACCGTTTTCGAAATAAAAATTAATTTCAATTTTTTTCTTCGAAAATCATGACTTCTAAAAATGCCGATATCTTTTAGTTAAGAAGTACTATGATATCGAAATTTGGTTTGGAGTTAGGTGATACTTGGACACTTCCCACACGTCAGCCTAATCTCCGTTACTTCAATACAGGGTGGTAAAAAAATACAGTTTTTTCGTTTGCTTGAAAAAGTTGCTGAAATTTGATTATTTTAAATGGAACACCCTGTATATTATTGGAAATTCGGAAAGCTGCTGAAATTTGCTTTCTTTCTATGTATATCATACCTATACCTAACTAGTCAAGTTTCGGACTTATGAACATTTATTTGTGAAAATGTCCCTTCAGAATGGTATTTCCATTCGATATTTGGTAAGCAGGCCATGATTACTATTTGACAGTAGCGTTGTGACATTCTCCTGATAATATCAACATTTTCGTCACTTCAGAAGTTGCAAATACCTTCAAAACGATGGAACAAAACTATTCAAACGAAGTTCTTATGAATTTGTTTATTATTTTTGGACAGTGTGACAAAATTATCAGCAGAACAGCAGTAGAAAGTTCAATGAAATGTATCCGAATCTATCGCCAATGAACCTCAAGAAATTTATACGAATTCAGAACAATTTCAATGCATTTGGATCAACTTTAAAAGCACCAAGAAACCAGAAACGTCTAATGTGCCATCCACCGTGAATCAGCCTGTATAGTCACGATACTTTAAAATATGTTCATACTGCTCTTCATACCAGTGATGCTCCGGAGAGTATGTTGATGTCATGGAGTAACGTCACTGTTTTTAAACACTAACCTTTCTATTTTCAATTCGAGCTATCCACCTCAATTTGAAAAACAATCAATACATCAGTTACAACCACATCTATTATCCTAGAAGCCGGTTGTTCCTAAGCCTGTGTGATATCGAAAACCACTATTAGTGGTAAGAATCAGCCAGAGAAATAACACCCAAAGTGATCGACTAGGAAATGTCGGGACTGTGTGATAAATTATTACCAAGACCTCGAACATGTTTTGTGAAATTATAAGTGATTCGATTTTTATTCAAATAAGTCTTGTTTCGAATGTCCATGTAGAAACACCAAGAGACTTTAATTGATTTACAAATTTTCCTAATGAATCCATTAAAGTGTCATGTTTTGTCATTAATTTTATACAATGTGTGTCAGGCGCAGCACGACTGAAATTTCCAAAAGTTGAACCAGATTCGCTCATACTGATATCCTAAAAAAGTTATGATAAAATATCACTTTACTATTGAACGAAAATCATTTTTCTGACGGAAATCAGATTTATATCTTTCAAGTTATTATCTTTCAATGCCTTTATATTTGTATAAAAAAACTGCGAATTGAAAACTTGAATAAAAAAGACGCCTCTGACCGACATCAAAGACGTTTGAAAATGAAACGAACCCAAGCTGCAAAAACTGTAGGATTCCTTATTTATTTCCAATTCTGATAGTCTTGATGTTCAAAATTATTAACTACGCCAAGGAATATTTTTCTTCGAGAATAATACTTTGAATTCAAAACTAGCATACAGGGTGGGACATCGAAAACTTGACATAGAGGTTTTGGGTACTAATCCTGCAAATCCTAAAAGTGGCTCAGACAGGTCGATATTTATTGGGAGGGGGACAGTTTTTTTCCCATTTACAGCGTCGTCACTTGAACCCCGGAGCAGAGGGGTGAACAACCCTTGGAATTTTAATAGGGAACTGGGGGCGAGTAGCACATCGTTTGAAAGATCTTGGAATTCTCTAAATAACGATGTACATTTTTGTTAATTTGGACGAACCATATTAAATTTAGAGTTGAAGTTACTTACTTCATTCTCATGTTAGCATATGCTCAAAATGGGCACCTCCAGCTTCCATGCAATAATAGAGATTCTGCTGAAAACGTTCTCGAACATTGTGGAGCATTTCTGAAGTGATTTGACGACATTC